ACCCGGTGTCTTCAGTAGTACGGGACCAATACTACTGTCCACACCGCATCAGCATTCATCGCAAGTCCTCCTCCCAGAGTCCTAAATCCCAAGTACTCTACTTTCTTTAATCATATGCTACTCACTAGCAGATCTCTCATAAGCTCCTCGCTACTATCTAAACACTCTCAAGCATCCCTAGCAGCAAAACTCCTAGACTAAGGCATCACATATCAGACCACTCTAGTCCTAATAAGAATACCTAGTCTACTCTATCATGCATAATATAACTAATCATATAACATAACATAATATATCTCATAACACTTATTGCAAGGGTATTTTGGGAAATCACCGTTCGGGCGTTGGCTGATCGTACACACGGCTCTGCTATGTTTGTCTCAAAACTCTTTTTACTCTTTTAAAATTGTTTTGTTATCAAAAATTTTCTCAAATCCTCAGTTTGAGTTCAGATACGCCCGAAGATGTATCTGAATGCCTCAAACCAAGGCTCTGATACCAACTTGTCACACCGTAAAAATTAAAACAATTTTTCACATTTTCAAAACACATTTTTCATTCACGATTATTAATAAAATCTCATTGTATCATAACTATGTTCCACAAAACATTTCCCAAGATCGAAATACATAAAACTTCATGTGTGTGTCCGAATCATGTCGGCGCCTTCCCGCGCTCCTCATTAGTACCTAAGACACATAACACAAAACACTGTAAGCACGAAGCTTAGTGAGTTCCCCAAAATACCACTCTAACACATACTAGCCACTCAAGGCTATAAATCTGCTGACCCTCTGGTCAGTGTGTCTCAGTGGGACCCTCCAGTCCCAACTCTATGTGGGCCCTCTAGCCTTAACTCTATGGACCCACTGGTCCTATCTCTGGAAACTCTGAATCATGCGTATCACATATCACAATAACACATAAATAACATACAATTACACTGGTACATAACTCAACAGTACACTAGCACATAACTATGTTACCACTCTAGGTAAAGTATAGTGACAAGACTCACCTCAGATGTCTCGGTAAATCTCTGACTCGGTAGAAATATGGTATAGCCTCCACCTAATAACATAAAGTAAATACTCTCATAAATATAACTCTCGAGACTAGAATCAACTCTCTCTTGGCACCCTCAGAAGGGTAAAAGACCATTTTACCCCTCTCTTGACACAAAGACCCCATTGTTGACCAAACCCTCAAAGTCAACAGTCAAACTTTGACCCGACTCGCCGAGTCTATGCGTGTCCACTATCCCTCTAGTCTCACATGATGCGTCGAGTCTTTCCCCTGCTCGACGGGTTATTGTCTTCACCTTCCTGCCGTATCGATCCTTTATCCGTCATCTTCGGCGCCAAATGTTGCGAAGTGGGTTGTGTCATACTGGGTGCACGTCCGGATGGTGCCAACTGTTGTGATAAGTCTCTGGCTTGACTTCGTCTCCTTGAACAAAGGAACGAAGGGTCTGAGAATCACAACAAATGAAACAAGATCATTAGTTGTCATCTAGGAGGCAATACCGGAACGAGGCTCCGACGATCAAGTTAGTAGGTTTCTTAGAAGGTGATGGGAAATAGGGTTAAAGTGAAAGGGTTTTGTTTTTTCGATCCCTTCTCTTGGAGAAGAAGTGACCCTTTTATACTTGTGGTCAAGGGGACAGATCCCCAACAATATCCTCGACCTTTTCAAATTTGCCAAAGCCAGGTGGCCTTTGATTGGTAGATTGTGCCCCGTGAGTTGTTGTTTGCTATTGGTGTAGGTTCGCCAGGAGCGACGCCCTGACCGCTACACCTGTCGCTCTGGGAGGAAATTGGTACTATTTTATCCTAATGCTGACCTTGGCGCTTGAGCGCCAAGGAACGAGTACGAGATCGCGAGGGCGAGGGAGAGGACGCGACATTAGACAAACATTGTCCTTTGCCCAAAACATCTACCAGACGGATGGTTCCGTTAATTTCGATGTATTCTTGGTGGGATACATCATCAACTGGTTATGTGATTAGACTGGTAGATCTGTAGGACTACCTATGTTGTTGATTATTATGATAATGTTTATAGCGATATGTTATGGTTGTGGTTTATTGGGTTGAGGCGGTCAAGTTGATACTGAAGGCCAAGACACCCAGGGCGGTCCGGATAGACCGAAGGCTTGCGAGGCGTTCCAGTCAGGCTGAAGGCCCAAAGAGCGGTCTAAATAGGCTGAAGGCCCGGTGAAGTGGTCCAGTCATGTTGAAGGCTCTCTATACATGCTGTTGTTTGTTATGTTTATATAGTGGTACTTTGGGGGAAACTCACTAAGAGTTGGCTTATAGTTTTAGTTTTGTTTCAGGTACTTCTGACGACCGTGACAAAGCGAAGGCGTGACTGTACACATCCTTGGTTTTATGTTGTTGGATCTTGGGAGACTCTGAGTTTAAAAAAAAATTGTATTTGGGAACAATGGTTATGTAAACATTTTTTGAGTAAATTGGTCGTTTTTGAAAAGTTTAAATTTTTTATGATTTTTGAATGTTACATTCTTTTTTTTTTGAATAAACGAACTGTTGAGATAATAAAAGTGACTGATTTTTCAGAGAAAGAAGAAACAAAGGAAAGACGGAAAGTGTGCAGATTACTTTATTCATCATCCAAAAGTGCCTTAAATAGGCTAACATCCAACCAACTTACAAAAGACTAAGTCACCAACACTCCACATTTACTAAAGACTCGGTAAAAGGAAAAACAAACACAACTTTAAATACTAAATAAGGGAAAATGACTTGACATGGTAATTACATTTTCGCCTTGTTCATGTTTAGACAATTTTTTTATACACATTTGATCATTTATCTTGTTAAATGTATTCACATATTACCATAGCAGGTGACACTGATAATATGAAAACTTTAACAAGTTAAATGATCAGATGTGTACAAAAAAAGAAAATTGCCTAAATGTGCACATTTTTTTTACAAATTTCTTAAGACTTTTTTATAATTTCTTACAATATTTCTATGATATTTTTTTCCTATAGATTTTTTTAATGCAATGTTTTAAACTTTTCTTATAATTTTTTTAAAACTTTTTTATACCTTTATGTAGTTTTAATACAAGTGTTTTTAAACCAAATATTTTATAAATGTTTTAAATTTTTCGTACAAGTTTTTAACCTTTTTTTATTATATTTTCATACATTTTTTTATAACTTTCATACAATTATTTCTAAACTTCATTTTATACATTTTTAAAGTGTTCACAGATTTTATATGACAATTTAATATTTTTTTATAACATTTTAAAATACTTTCGTTAAATACTAGTTTAAGACATTGTATTAAAAACATAAAAATTTTATAAAATTCCAATTAAAAAGTAGTAATAATTTTAGAACATTTATTTATATAGATTTTTTGGTTTTTATTTGCTACGTAATATTTTCTTTTTCATTATTTAAAAGATCATCTATACTTATTGTTACATATTTAATTTTATTGTTTGATACTATTTATTTTAAAAATATTGTATATGCTTAAAAACAAAAGAAAAAAAAATATAAGAGGCCATAAAAAATATTTCACAAAACAAAATCATATTTATTAATTAAAAATAAAATTTAGAATTGATTAATATTTAATTAATATTTAGGACATTATGGATATTTTAAAAATAACGTTTGAAAAAAAATACAAACAAATACGAAAAACAAGATCGCCATTAAAAGTGGGGAAAATGACTTATCAGGGTAAATAACTTTTCATTTTGTTCATACTTAGACAATTTTTTTATACATTTGACCATTTAACTTGTTATATGTGGTCACATATTATCGTTGTCACATGCTATAGTTATGACAATAGTAATATGTGAACACATATAACAAATTAAATTGTCAAATATGTAAAAAAAAAAAAAAAAAAAAAAAACTATCTAAATCTGAACAAAGCGATATGAATGATTACCCTAGTAAGTTAATTTTTCTACTAAATAATAACCCATGAATGAATTACTTCTAAGGAAAACACAACATCCATTTATTTCCCAAAAATCCAGTCACCAGTTTTGATTAAAGTCAAAATTAAATCTAACATTAAAAACATATACGTTATTTGGTAATATTAGTCAATAGTTATTATTACGTTAAATTACAACTTTAAAATATTACTTTAGTGTTACTTAAATAGAATTTGTTAGTAAATTAAAAGAACCATGTAACTAAATTTTTTTTTACTAAATTTCAAAATTATCCGGTATTTTTGCTTATTTTTAAATCTTACATGAGAAAATTAATAGAATTGGTATATACTATTATTGATTTGTACCGACCAAACTTGTTGGTAGTCAAGCATATTGGTACCAATTATGTTTAGTATGGTATTGGTAGCAAAATTTTATACCAACTATAGTTGGTACAGTACACGGTTTAAAGAAAAAAGAATCGATACTGTAACATATTAACCCCTAATTATCTAAGTTTTATATAAAATCAAATAGACCATTATAATTTTAATGTATAAAATCATATTCTATTATATAATTTGCAGCAAAAGGTACTTATGAGTTTTTTTAGCAGAAACAAACTCTATATTATAGAGAAGATATCAACGATTTATATGTTTAAACAAATTATAAAAATAGTCTATCCTGATACAAAATTTGCAAATTACTTGTTTTGTTTCTATACTTTTTTGTTCTCACCCTTTTGCCCACATAAATTTTATATATTTGCAGGTTTGCTACCAATATTTTTGTAGTTACGTAATTTCGATCTTGCATGCACCCCTGCGAAACGAGAACCAAACAATTTCTAGTTCTTATGAAAATAAAACTATACATAAGTCAAAATCGAACATATATGGGTTAATGGGTGCAATGCCTACAAAGTTGAAAGCAAATATGGTATTTCTTTTTTTTTTTTTTTTTTAGTTTTTATTTTTATGTGGTGGTGGCTAAATTACTTAAATCAATATTATCCAAATTCCAAAGTAGTGGGCCCAACTATGTCAATAAAAGACAAGGCCCAATTATCTAAGATCCAACCCAACAACACGAAACGTGTGCAAAGCACGTGGCACCTCATCCATCATACTCCACCACCCAATTATCTAATCTTTTAACTGAAACAAACAGCCATCCACACAAACACACACTCTCTCCATTTTTTCCTCTTTGGTTCAATCGAGTTGTTCATAGATCAGTAGATGGCTGGTGTCCTCGAAACTCTTACTGTTCCCCGAACTTCCGGCTTTCCGTCGGCGTCTTTGTCTCCGATCGTTTCTTCTCCTCTTTCTCGGCTCTCTGGTCGCCGGAATATTATAAAACTGCCGGAATCAAGAGGTTTGAGAATCCAGTCGTTTGGTTCTTCCGGATCGGTGAGCTTGAGAGCTAAATCTGGTCGCCGTGGAGCACGTATCGTATGCGAGGCTCAAGAAGCCGTCCAAGGTTAGAATCGTACACTGTGCACTTGTTCCAAATCGAATCATGTTATACTCTTTTGACCTAGTTTTTTTCTGTAGCTATCTGTTTTATTAGTTATCGTTATATCAATTTCTATATCTGTAATTCGTAAAAACTCTGTTTATGCTCGGAAGACGAATCATCAGATTATGTTAGCAATATTAGATTGAAATTAGGCGCTGTAAATCGATTCAACTAGACAGCGTGCTGATTTGTAGAATTAAAGTTGTTCAGTGTACTGATTCGTAGAATTTCCATGTAACACCTACTTCTTTTCAAACAAAAGAAATGGTTTACAATTTACATTTTGTTTCAAATCTAACATCAGTATAATCTTGCAGTGCTTCCTGTCACTGATGCAACATGGCAATCACTAGTCCTTGAATCTGGTCTCCCTGTAATGGTTGAATTCTGGGCTCCATGGTGTGGGCCATGTCGTATGATTCACCCAGTGATAGATGAACTTGCAAAGGAATACAATGGGAAGCTCACTTGTTACAAGGTAAATACTGATGAGAGCCCTTCAATTGCAAGCCGATATGGGATAAGAAGCATTCCAACTGTCATTATATTCAAAGATGGAGAGAAGAAAGATGCTGTCATTGGTGCAGTTCCTAAATCAACCCTGTGTAGCTGCATAGAGAAGTTCTTGTAGAGGTATTGTTATGTATATACAGTTCTAGATTTGTTCTTATTTAGTTCTATAATCTGTTTCATGATGTCTACCTTTTGATGTCATTGGCCTTTGAGCATCATCAATAATTTCCCCGTATAGTTGGATCTTAATGTATTTTCTGAAGCCAAACTGCAAAAAAAACCATTTGACATGTTTATTGTTTTCTTTTACTCTTGCTCAAAGTCAAAACCATTTGACATCTTCTTCAAGTGGTTTGCTGAGGAAATCAGACTTATTTTGAAAGAGATAACATTATTTTGCAATTAGGAAAGAGTAGAAGAAACTAGGTGGTGGTGTTGGGATAGTGACAAACTGACAAGGATGATGAAATTGAAAATGAAGATTAATATAAAAGTATCAATAATATGATAATATAATAAACAAATACCAAATATTTACAAAAAGATTAAATTAGGATAAAATTATCATTTCACACTCTTTAACTGTCAAAACTTTAACGAAATCCAATTTAGCAAACACCACCGAATAAAGTAAAACTACAAGGACTTTTTGGGATGAAATTCATATGTTTTGATAGACAACAAGGACCAAATATGTAATTTTCCCTTATTTTAATTTTAATTAAGTTGTGAGAATTAAGAATTGGCCATGTGTTTAGCGAAAAGAAAAAAAAAAAAAAAAAAAAGATTTGGTCCATTAGAAAAATGTTGCAAGAAATGTGTTTATGGGCATGTTTGACTATAATTTTTTTTTTTTTTTTTTTTTTTTTTTTTATCAAACTGAAATAACTAATTTAATTGTAGGGCGTTATACAAAAATATTTATACATAAAAGATTAATTTATAAAGAATAAATATCAAAAATATTAAAATTAAACTTCATATTCTTTTGTAGATAGTTATAACATCCGTAAACAATATTTATCTTCATTTTTCTGAACAAATTTAATGTCTCAACCCTCAAACCACTTCACACCTTTAAATCACCTCTCACGTCCTCCATGCCTCCTTCACAGACAACCAACCATGATACACCTTATGAATATGAAGTTGTCGAAACATGCCTTGCATTAACGGTGTTGCTTCTCTTTAACTGGATTGTACCAAACAACTTATGACTTTGATAAAAATCGAGATCCAAAACAATCGACATAACTACCTATAAAACCTCCATATATGGCTAGATTCCAAAGTACACCACTTGCAAAAACATATATCCTTTACTATCAAATTATTTTGGGGCATCAATTTAGTGCTCTATTGAGTGATAGTCGAAAATGAATGAGGTTGACTAGAATATAGGATATTATTTATAGGGAGTTTGGAGCATGTGTTTATGGGTCAATGGAGGTTTTGATTTTCCGACAAAGGTGATAAGGTTTTGGTTTTCAACAGGGTTGAAGAAAAGAAATGGAAATTGAATGAGGGTGGGGTGTTTAGGTTTAATAGGTTTGATAGAAGGTGGTAGAAGTGGAGGATAGTGGAGAGTGGATGAAAATGGTGGTCTTGGTGATTAGAGCATGTGTAATGCGTAATAGGGTTGTCGTTGATGGCCATTAAATAAGTGAGAGTGTCGGTGATTGCATGAAGATAGGGGAGGTGTTGAATACAAAGATTTGGTCATCTAATGTGGATCGTTCAACCTATAGGAATATTTTTAATTTTTTATTTAAATTTAAATTAAATATAAAAATAATAATTAATAAATACGAGAAGTAAAATAATAATTCATAGGGTAAATTACATTAATTGTCTCTCGTACATATGTCAAAATGCAGGTTCGGTCTCTATTTTAAAAAATTATCCATCCCTCGTTTGTTTAAACTTTCACACTTCATCCATCCGAACACAAAAAGAATATTTTGCCCTTAACAATTTCTTTTTTAATTTTTTAAAATTTATTGTTTTTAGATTAAACAAAAAGAAAAATATATCTTCATCCTCCCCACTTTTCTTTCTACGGTCTCCTTTCATCTCCCTGACTCCGTAACTCTCCAGCGAGACCAAAAGTCCAAAACATCATTACCGCTGTTTATTTCTTTCCCCTTCTACTATAATTCTTCCCCCTAGAGAGAAAGTTTGAAGAAAAATGAAAATTGATAAGGAACATGAATGACACAAAGCAAGAAAATCATGTTTTTTACGGATAAAGGGTAGCAAGCTACAAAGATCATTACCTAAAAGAACAACATTTGTCGAAAACAAACCATAATCGCCTATTGTTTTTCCAGCAAGAGGGTAACAGATCTATTGAAACCATCATAAACAATCATCCATTGCCACTATAAACAACTCTCTCTCTCTCTCTCTCTCTATCTATCTATCTCTCTCACACACACATAGCTCCAACAAGCACCAACTCCACCACCGGCTAGGATGTGTGGTGCTCCACCACCTGCTAGGGTGCGTTTGATTCAGAACAAGATAATTGGTTTCCATGTTCTCGAATTGTGGTTGTTGATCGAAGTGAAAAGATAAAGGAAGGTTTCACCATTGCACGAGAAAAGGGAGTGTTTAATTAGCGGGCTAGAAAATATGGGTGATCCATCGCCACAAAAAATCCTAACCGCCTCTCATTTTTTTTTTCCAGCTAAAGGGTAGTTGTCTACACTCCTGCACAAGCTTTTATCTTATCGTTCAGATTTGCATTCCAACAAGAGGCTAGATCCTCCAATGGTACTGATGATGGAGCAGTGACAGGTGGTGTTCGAATGGGGTGTTTGTCGGATGGTGTTTGTATACAAGAGTGGTGATGGTGAAGGAGGTGGTGGGTTGTGGTTATTTTTTCAAAAAAATAGGTGGTGGTTATGTAGATTTCTAGTGGTGGTTATGTATTTGTTGTGACAATAAAATAAGATCGATAGATTCAAGAACAGGAATAGGAATCAAAACACAAAGAATTATGATCGAAATAGTACTTAATGATTAAAATCAATGGCTTAGAAGAGCTCGATGAAGAACTTCTACTGTAAAGGCATAGTAGGGCAGAATACAATTGATACCTAATTACAGTGCATGCATGCACTATAAATAGTTTAACCCTAACATCATTAAAAACCGAGTGGACATGCCCAACCCGTTAGCCAATGGACTATTCTATAGAACATTACATTTGACACAACACAAAATAATCCAACAATCTCCTCCTTTGTGCCAATTAAGGAAGGAGGCTCTTCATTGTTGTTGGCATTTCCGAGTCTTGAAGAGTTTGGGCATAAGACTGAGCAGGGTGTTGCGAACTGCTATATACCATCTTGTCATATCTGCAAAGCATTTCTTACTTGCAACATCGTTCGCTTTGCATTGCCCGATTAACTCCAGAATGTAGTTCAAGCAAGAAGTGGAGTAAAGATGCTTGTTTGAAAGGGAGAAGAAACACCTCTGAGTATTCGAACCATCTCTAGCACTCTGTTGAAAAATCATACTCCAATTGTCTTTGTGGATTCTTCCGAGCTTCACTTTTGAGACATCATACGAAGCTTCTTTTGGTTTGACAATAGGCTTCTTTCGTAATACAACCACAATCTCTACATCCATTTTGCTGACTTCGAGGATGTACGAGACCAACATCCTTTTGAGATGTGTCACTAGGTTCATATTTATGTTTATCCTTTAGCAAGAGATGTAATAGAGATATCCAATCAAAAAGGGTTAAGGCACGGCAGGTCTGCGAGTGTAAATTCAAACACCGAACTTACATCACCTCGAGCAGTTTTAAACCGAGCATTGACAAAGCTTTCAGTTTCTGTGACAATCGTCAATCTTGAGTCAAGTCAAGTCATCAGGTCAAGCCGGTCAACCCTATTAAACCTTGTGTATTAGGGTTTGTGTTATGTTCATACTGTATAACTTGCTATATTTATGGGAAAACATCACTTGAGAAAAGTCTTGTGTTAAAAATTTCCTAAGCCCTAGTACTAATCAATGAACTAAACTGATGAAAACCATGTTGCATACTCATTAGGAGTGCGTGGGATCCTTAATCATGACTTAACGGGGCTCAAGAGACTCGCATTACGGAACCAAACACTCACAAATGCCACACTTGAAATCTCTCTCAAATATCTCTTTGTATGAGGAATCTCTCCAAGAATGTCAAATCTCTCTCAAATCTCTCCAAGTATGTGAAATCTCTCTCAAATATCTCTCTGTATGAGAAACCTCCCCAAGAATGTCAAATCTCTCTCAAATCTCTCCAAGTATGTGAAACCTCTCTCAAATATCTCTTTGTATGAGAAATCTCCCCAAGAATGTCAAATCTCTCTCAAATCTCTCCAAGTATGTGAAACCTCTCTCAAATATCTCTTTGTATGAGGAATCTCTCCAAGAATGTCAAATCTCTCTCAAATCTCTCCAAGTATGTGAAATCTCTCTCAAATATCTCTCCGTATGAGAAATCTCTCCAAGAATGTCAAATCTCTCTCAAATCTCTCCAAGTATGTGAAATCTCTCTCAAATATCTCTCCGTATGAGAAATCTCTCCAAGAATGTCAAATCTCTCTCAAATCTCTCCAAGTATGTGAAACCTCTCTCAAATATCTCTTTGTATGAGAAATCTCTCCAAGAATGTCAAATCTCTCCCAAATCTCTCCAAGTGTGAGAAATCTCTCCCAAATCTCTCTCAAAAGTTTCCCGTAACTTTTTGGAATCATTCGGGTCATTCCGGCCCTTAACCGGGTCAAAAACGGCTTGAAACGGGGCGAAAACGAGAAAAATAGGCTTTAGGAACCGAAACCGGAGTGAGAGGCCTCTTAGGACCAGAGACCGAGCCTCTGGTGGCTAAGAGACCAGAGACCGAGCCTCTGGTGGCTTAGAGACCAGAGACCGAGCCTCTGGTGGCTAAGAGACCAGAGACCGAGCCTCTGCCTCTGTCGCTCACGCTCTGCTCCTCTTGGTCTCTGTTCGCTACTCCGCCGCTCTGTCGCCTTCTGTTCCTTCTCTCGCTCGGTCTCTATTCGCGCCTTCTGTTCCCTTCTTTCCTCTCTGTCTCTTCGCGCGCTCTGTTCCTTTCTCTCCTCTCTGTCTCTTCGTGCTCTCGGTTCCTTCCTTTCTCTTCTCTCTTCTCGGTTCTGCCTCCCTCTCTCTCTCGGTTCAGCATAAAAGGGCCGAGCCTCGGCCAGATTTCGCATTTTTGTCACTTTCAGCCCATTTTGATATTTTTAACATTTTAAGCCCGTTTTTCGTGATTTTAAAGCGGGATTTTCTCCAGAAATTATATTTTAACATAATAAACTCTAAATATTCATAATTTAAACATATTTTGATGAAAATCATTATTTAAATAATAAAGATCTAATGGGGGATTTATTTAAGGTAGAGTGTTGACTTTGCCTTAACTTATGACACAAGCAACCACCCCACACCCACTCTATGACCAGCCATACCTCCCCACCTTACCTATGTCACTTCAATGTTCCCTTACACTCAAATTTCACTCACTCCCACGTTTTTGAGCTGGAACAAACAACCACACTCCTCATTTTCTCTCATTTCTCTCATTCCACTAAGTAACAAACACCACTTTTTCTCTCAAACTCTTCTACACAAATTTTCGAGATCCAAGGCTGATTTCAAGTGTTCTTCCACACTTAGTAAGTAAAAATTTATCCTCCCTATTATTATTTCACTTCATTCTACTCAAGTCTTTGATTGCTTACACAAACTCCCTAACTATAATGTTAGATTCTCGAAAACCTCAAGGCATCTCCAAGTGTTCTTGAATTAAACACTTCCGTTCTTCAACAATCATCTACTGAAATCACTTAAGGTGAGTTCATACCCCTACATTTTCATGTTTTCTCAAGTTTTCAGGGGGGGAATACAAGTTAAAACACTAAGAACATAACTAAAATTTTCTAACAGCCTTCATCAGAAAAGTTCAACTCCAGTCACGGACTGTTTTGGGAATCTTAAACATTTTTGTTTTCAAAACTGTACAAGGTGCAAATAGTTCAAGTTTTTAGCTTTAAAATGGCTACTTGCACATCTCCATACGATTTTTCTACAATTTATGGTGATTTTTACAAAACTGCCTATCATTTCAAACAACAATGCGGACCAGTCTGTGATTTTGGACTTTTTCACCCAAGTTGGAGGTCATTAAAATTTGTGATAAAAATTATGAGTAAACTAGACACATTTTGTGAACTCTCAGAATTTACGGATCTAGTTTTTGACTTCGTATGATTTTTCTATGATTTTTTCCAAAAACAGGGCAGAATGGCTAAAGTTAGCCAGCAGCATGTAAATATCATAACACTTTGTATTATGTTGAGCAAAGTGTATAATCATAAGTTCTAATATTTGAATGTGTTTCCATGTTAGTTTATCATTATGAACTGAAACTAAGACATTCATATTAAATATTATTCATTCATTTTAGAACACGTATTATTTAACTATAAAAAGTATAGTTTGATAAATTCATAACACTAATACATTTCCATGAAAGAGATCATACATATTACATACATTTTAGATAAACTATAATAGGTATAGTTTATGATACATCACTCAACGCACTCGTACAAAAAGGGTACATCCATACAAGAAAGATTTATATTCACACACATTTCACGTAAACTTGTTAACCTATGTTGTGAGACTCTCTCTCTCCCCGTACGTCCGAGTGCGGGATATAATTCCTGGTAGTTATAATCAGAATCTCCTTGAGGGAGAACGTGATACTTGTATATAGATCTATATTGGGTTTGACACCCCACACCTTGCTGCTAGCTACAGTGGGACCTGCAGGTCTACGGGTGACAAATGTCATTTCATTTTCGCGACGCCTGAGAAACGTTGTTGCAGGTTCACATAGTCACAGTATGATTATAGCGACTCACTTAGGGGGATAACAATTCATGAAGTTTACGGGGTTTCATAAAACCGAAGTAGGTTTTAGGTTGATAAAAGAAATTTACTTTCCATAACATTTTAAACTCACAACATTTCTACTAAGAAACGATGATTTCTCATACATTCTAGTCTTTGGTTATAAGGCTACATTTTTCGGATTTCAAGGAAAATATCGGATTTTTCTGAAACGAACGCGACATTTACATGTGAAATACTTCTACTAAGTTTATTAATAAAAGCTTATGAACTCACCAACCTTTGTGTTGACACTTTTCAAACAACTTGTATTCACAGGAAAACACTAATCAGGTTATCAAGTGCTTTTGAGGATGGGACGTTAAGGCGTCAAACTTTTCACATTTTGACAACATATTGTAATTGATTTTGAAACATGTAATTCATACAAGTGATGTAACTTTTTCAATTATATATATGTTGGTTGTGTTTGCTTAAATTACTATTAAAATTGTGGTTATGATGCTATACATGAAGTCCTCCACCCCCGGACGTTTCCGCCATCCTTGGTTTGGGGGTGTGACAGTTTCAATTGGCCCAACCACCTTTACAGTGGTTATTTTCTTTTAACTCCATGTTTGGTGTTCGGGATTACCATGGTTGAGATAAAATGCTATAAGAGACTGATTAACATTATTATCTTAATCTGGAGCATTCGTAATTTTCTCAAAACTACGAAACAAGAAGGCCTTCGGAGTAACAGGAAAATCGAACTGTGAATCTGAGGTGTTGTTCTTTAGATCAAATGAAGCAACCGACTCCAACCAATAAATGCTTGGGTTGTCAATGGCTTCATTCAAAATCCTCTCCATAGTCCAAGGAGGAAATAGAGCATTTTGAGCTTCAAGAGCAATTTGAGCATCACAAAGCTCTTTTTCACTTTCTTCAACCTCCTTTGCAATTCGCAAGTTTTCATCATGTTTTGCATCACGAGATTTGCGTTTGAACTTTGCATTTTCATCCTCTTCTTCTTCATCATCATCATCAATTATCTTTTCTTTTCCCTTCGATCCACAAGCTACATTAACCTTCTGACCGACTTTTGCTTTCTGTTAAGGCTTTTGTTCAAGTTCACCAGAACCACCGGCAGCTGCAGCTATTTGCTTTACCTGTCCCCCTTGTTTCGGAAGTGAACCAGACTCCGAAACACCCCGAGTCGGTTCAACATAGAAGATACTGACTTATGTTTATCAACCAGATGCAGGCGAACAGAGACCGTGAGAAGAGAATCATGAGTCTCAATGAGAGTTTGTAGATAGGAATTAATATCTACAACGTAGCTTTTCATCACAGCCTTTTCTAATTTTAACTCTTATATCTGTGTGTTTGCATGTGACAACTTCACAGAAAGAACTTTCATCTTCTTTTTTTGACAGCGAGCTCATCCATGATCTTGTTCTCAAGAGCTAAGTGTTCTTGAAGCTTGTCGATTTTGGAAGAAATGGATGTTTGAAACGTAGTATTTTCAGCTTGAATAGTAGTACAGACCTTGGAAAGTGAATCTCTTTCTGTTTGAAGGGTTATACTAAGGCTGGTGATCACTTTGTTTGCAATTGCAGTGTTTGATTCAAAAGAGTTTTTGAAATCACCCATGAAAGTTGTAACATCATAAAGTAGTTTTTCGACCTTTTCGGTCGTTTCGCAAACCGTTTTCTCTGAAATCTCAACAACTTTGTTAGATTTTGCAAGATTCGTTG